AAATATGTATTTTTGGAATAACTGGAAGCAATTTGAAGGAAATTAATTGGCAGGAAGCAAGCAAGGCTCTGCGATGTCATCGCATGAGTGATGATTAATGAAATATTATAGTGGATTGGAAAAGTAAGCAACACTTTGAAAGACCTGCAAATCGATCGCAGAATGATCTGAAGAAATTCGTTCGGTCAATATGGATAGAAATGGCACAAAAATTAGGCTTAGGGTAAGGTCTTCGAGAGGACCTCATCCAGCGATGGGTCGTAAAAGCTTAAGATGATGATTACATAAAGAGCCTGTCAGCTTCGGTTTCAGTGTTTCTTTGACGGTTTGGTTCAGGCCTTTGGAATTAGGCTCAACGTCGCACTGAGCTGTCCTTCGTCCTGCCTTGCTATTCTTTACTTGGGTCGCTGCAAGTTCTACAATCTGTGAACGATGATGAATTTGTGAAAAGTCAACTTATCAATGGTGTGCAATGTACTGATCTCGTAAATTAGCATGAATTATTACTACTTTAAAAAGTACAGCATTACGCTGTAATTTTCTTTACTGGAATTTCACAACAAATCTATTTTTGACGTTTATTAACATTCGTATTAACCTGTTAAGGTCGTTTTATCTTGTACAGTTTATTTTAGGAACTTGGTAGTCGGGATTCGACTACTTTTCAAATGATATATGACCTGCCTATATATACAGAAATTTTGGAGGACATTTGCTTGGTACCGATGCTGTTAGATTTGTAAACGAAGTTTTGATTGTCTTCTTTCAGGAAGAGCGGTCATGTTGCGCTTTAGAGACTCGATCTGGAATGTATATACGTGTCGCCTGTTCTAAAGTGCTTAAAGTGAATCTTCGCGAAGAGAAGGAACAAAAATTAGGGAATGGTGTAGTTGCCAAGAAGATTTCTTCCAGCTTCTACCATGTACCTTCTGAAACTGAACTGACAGCAAAGCGATTGGTAAATCTCTGCGGACAGTACTGTTCGAGTTGTCTTATTTCCGAAACAAAGTACGTTCTCCTCATGTTGGTGTTTTGCATGTCTTATGCAACGTTTTGCTAGAGGATAAAAATTCAAGTAGGAAAGAGAATGACAGAAACTTTTAAGAAATTCACCTCATAGTTTTTGGCATGGTTTTATCGCTGTCGAATTTTTACTGTATAATGCATATTCGCATTGTATCAGATAATTGGCTTTTGAAATCGTTTACTATGTTTATCGCTGTTCTTAGGTGTAGATGGAATTTTTTGCCATTATCTATGGACTATGCCTCATCCCTTAATGAAGTAATACTTTTTTTGTTCCTAGTCGCCACTGTGGGTGCCTTCTTTCTTCTTTATCTTGTCATCCTTGCGCAGTGGTCATGCATCTTCGTTTTAGTTTTTAATATTCTAACAATCTTTGTTTTGACATGATCCATGATTATCTTCACCAATCTGATGGCAATGGTTCGAATTCAGTTTCCTCGTATATTTCTCGTCTGAAGTACGGTGTTTCATGTTCGCCTTGGGTGGTTTTGTTAGAAGTTCTTGCTGTGTGGGTTTTCTCAAAATCAGTGGAAAAGTTTTTTCTCTCTCTAGTCAGTGTCGTTTAACATGAGCCTTCACATTGTTTTTCCACTTAGAAGCCCTTCCGCACGTAGTGCACGAAAATGGTGCTTTTCACAGTGCTTGCGACGGTGGTTCAATAGAATCTAACGTCTCATGAAACAGACTGTGTCAAACATCTTGCAGACCTTCACTGAAAGAGTTTTTTTCCTGATGCGAATATTTTTGTGATTCTTTGGTTCTGACTGGCATTCAGTCATCGTTTGACATATTAGACTGAGTGGCAGATTAATACAAAGTCGTCAAGTCATATCAAATTTATTAGCTTGTACAATGGTTGTTGCTATCAGCATCGTGATGTGCATATACCTGATTTTCAAATTCAAGTTTTACTACTACGCATTAATCCATATCTAACATGCTTATGAAGTTCGCAAGAGCAACCCAGCTTTCCCTTATCACCACAGTGGAAGAGTGTTGTATCGACTCCTTTATCAAAAGACCTAGATTTGGCTGGTTCTTGTCGGTTACAAACACATTCGTCCGACTGAAGCAGTCGCCTTCAGAAATGGTGTATTTCGCAAAACCAATTCTGTTATAGCGGGTTGCTGATAATTGCTGGTTAATTCAGTCATTCAATTTTCGGTAGGTTTTTCCGATGC